AAAAAAAACCACAATTTGAAATTTTAAATGTTCAATTAAAACCATAAAAAAAAATTAAAAGCGAGATACAGAAAAGTAGTTACCTTTGGAGGACTAACAACTACTCGTAGGCTCGTATAAAGCATTCAGCCTTTGAATAGATGTTCACGAGACCTGGACTGAAGTTGAAGATTGTCGTCTTCGTTAGATAGAAGAGAAAGTGAGGATGAGTAAGTCTGTCTCGTCAAAAAGTTGTCGAACATTCAGGGCTCATTCGTTGCTGAAAGTAGGAGGAATGGATGGAGGGTTTCGCGTTATTTGATCCTCTAACTGCAACTAATCCACAATATGTGTGCTACTTTTCCGATTGAATTTAGGGGTACGCGCACTCTTTCAGTGGCAGTTGGAGATGCTGGAAAATTACCAGAACAAAAACTCAAATTCGACAAATTGAAGAAATAAGAGCAACAAAACTAAGAATGTGAAACCCTATAATTAAAACTGCAGAAAGTTGGGGAAGAGAAGGAGGATAGAGAAACACAAATGATGGGAAAATCAGAGAGCAACAAAGGAAAGATAATACCTCAGTTTCAATTCAATGGAGGAGAAAGTTTAGAAGACACTTCCTTAGAAGACAGAGAGAGAATTGGAGGACAGAGAGAGAAGGAGTTGAATGAGTGGAAGAGAGAAAAAAATGGGAAAAGAGGATTTATTTGGAGCAAGGACACATCTGTAATTTCACGCACTAGGGGCAAAACCGGAAATTCTATCCACAAGCTACAATAAAATTTTTCTATAGTGACTTGCTACTCATATTTTATGACTAGATAGAAGCCCGTGCGATGCACGGTTTTTTCATCTATTTTTAATTATTTGATTTATTATATTTAATAATTTCAGACAACAGAAGTTTAATATTTATTTATTTTTTACTATAATTTATAATGAATTTATTAAATATAAATAAATTGTAAATATGATATTTTTTTCCATAATATAAAATCTTTAATGTGAAATGATAAATTTTTAATAATTTAAATCGTAAATCATTATTCATTGTTTTACCATATCTTTTATTTCGATAGAATCACCAACCTCGTCCACAACCAACCTACTACATCAACGGATAAAAATGTTAGCCAAATTGAAATTGATATAAATTAAATCTTTACATTTATATAAAATAAATCAATATATTTACCAATAAATGAAAAATTGTTGCGATATAAAATCAAATCTATGCATTGGAATTTTTTCATCATCTCTAAAAATAACCAAATCCATCCATATATTAAGTATACAACATCTAATCGTATGTCATTACATTAACAAATAATTGTTAAGTATCCTAAATAAATACAATGTAACTAATAATAACAAATATAAATTTAAACATAAGATTTTAAAAATTACCCGGACATTGGTGACCTAAAACTAACACAAAATTACTAACATAAAATTCGCTTGATGGGGTATTGTATTGATATGAAATTTTATTTGTGTCGTATGATGTGTTAGATATGCATGTAAAAAAACATTTAGTAAATAAAACATAGACATATAATCGTTGAGTATCCCAAATTAATACAATGTAAGTAATAATTATAAATACTAATTTAAACATAGGATTTTAAAAATTAAGCTAAAAATTACCCGACCATTAATGGCCAAAAATTAACACAAATTTACTAACACAAAATTCGCTTGATGGGGTTTTTTATTGATACAAAATTTTGTTTGTGTCGTATGATGTATCAATTTATAATGGTAGGTATCACAAATTATAATTTAATTATAATTAACGAACAATTTGTATTTCTTATCATAAATACTATCAAAATTTATCTTATATGATAGGTTTCAAACTTTATTATAAGTGTTTATCATTTAAATATTTTTTAGTATATTTTTTTTGGATTTCTTATACTCGTAGTATTGAATTAATAAATTTATCTTTTCCTATATTTTTAATTTATTTTTTTTCATTAAAAATAATTTAATTCGTGGATTATAATCTACATGGCATTAAAATTTTAGATATATCAAATCTAATTTGTTACTTTTATCTAGGTGGCGATGCACGGTTTTTTTTTTTCATACATAAATCTCAAGAAAAGATATCTTCCTATAGACTCTAAGTATATATATATATATATATATATATATATATATATAATTATTTGATTTATGTTACTATTTAATAATTTTAGACGAAAAAAACACATAATAATTTAATTAAAGTGTTATTTTCTATTACAAAAGTATAATTTTTTTTAATGTAATTTATTATGCGACTTTATTTATTGTTGTTTTGTATTTTATTCGTTGTTGTTAGTTATATGACAACTGAATTTAATAATATGAATAAATTTTAAATATGATATCTGAAAAAAAAATTGTAAATATGATATTTTATTGATTACATATTAGGTTAAAATCTTTAATGTAATTTTTTTTTGATAATTATTTGATTTATTTTAAAATATAATAATTTCAGACAAAAAAAAAAACAAATAATAATTTAATTAAAATGATATTGCCAATTACAGAAGTATAATTATTTTTTAATGTAAATTATAATGCGACTTAATTTATTGTTGTTTTGTATTTTATTCGTTGTTGTTAGTTATATGACAATAATATGATATCTTTCAAAAAAAAAAATTGTAAATATGATATTTCATTGATTACAATATTAGGATAAAATCTTTAATGTGAAAAGATAATAATTTTTTATTTTTAAAATAATTTAAATTCTAAATCATTATTCGTTGCTTTTTACACTTGAAATTAAACCCTCAAATCTATATATCATTTTGTATATTTCTTGTGATCTCTTGATCTCTAATAAATTATCTGTCTTTTCAATTTTTTAGACATAAAATGTTTAAAGAAGGTAAAGTTTTTTATTGCGTTATAAGCTTTAAATTTTTTTTATGAATCGGGTATTTAGATAAAACCATTAATTTCATAAGATAATTTTTATTTTCTCAAATAATTTAAATCCTAATATCCCACGGTTTTTTTTATACATAAAAGCTAGAAAAAATAATTTTTGTAATTAGATCATACTCATAATATTTTTTATTACTTTGCTATTGTTTTTTAATTTTATGTAATTTATTCCCCTAATAAATATTTTGATAAGAACATTAAAAATAATAGTTATTAGATGTAATATTTCGATGTAAAAAAATTTGTATTAAAAAAATATTTCGATAGGATCATCAACATTATTCACACCCATATCTCTTCCATATAATAAAAGTGGATAAATAGAACATGTTAGCAAAAATAAAATTATATAAAATTAATCTTTATAGTTTTTTATAAAATAAAATAAAAAATTTACCAAAAAGTGAATAATTGTTGTGAAATTAATCTAAAAATTGTAATTATACAAAATTAAATCTATGCATTGGAATTTTTTCATCGTCCCCAATTGCTCAAACAATAGTATTTTGGAAAATGGAATCATTATTTTGTTGTCACTGACAATGCGTGCGATATTGCTTCTTATTTGTAGCGACTGAAAAGTATTTAATGGAGTAAACTTTTCCTTCAATCAATTTTGAACAAAATTGTAGAACAAAGTTAGACTTTAATTGAGGCATGAACGTAATTACCCTGTAATTAAAAATAAAAGTTTAAGTTAATTTTATTACTTAATTAAGCTACCTAAATCACAAAAAATTTGTGTTAATCATAAATTAATTGATAAAAACTAAAAGGTTCATTAAAAGATTAAATAAATGTAAACAATTTACAAAAATATAATACCTCCTCATCCAATAGGATCATCAGGCGAGAAACTCGTACTTTGATATTCTAAAGATTTTTGCTCGAATATAATTCTCTGATTAAATTAGATCATACACAAAATTTGCTTGGTTTGGTTTTGTATTGATACGAAATTTTGTTGGTGTCATATGATGCGTTAGATCTGCATGTAAAAAAATATTTAGTAAATAAAACATAAACATATAATCGTTGAGTATCCCAAATTAATACAATGTAAATAATAATTAGAAATACTAATTTAAACTAAGGATTTTAAAAATTAAGCTAAAAATTACCTGGCCATTGATGACAAAAAATTAACACAAAATTACTAACACAAAATTTGCTTGATGGGGTTTTTTTTTTTATACAAAATTTTGTTTGTGTCGTATGATTTGTCAATTTATAATGGTAGGTATCACAAATTTTAATTTAATTATAATTAACAAACAATTTGTATTTCTTATCGTAAATACTATCAAAATATATCTTATAATAATAGTTATCATTTAAATATTTTTAGTATATTTTTTTTTGGATTTCATACTCGTAGTATTGAATTAATAAATTAATCTTTTCCTATATTTTTACTTTATTTTTTTCATTAAAATAATTTAATTCGTGGATTATAATCTACGTGGCATTAAAATTTTAGATATATCAAATCTAATTCGTTATTGGCGACATAATTTTTTAATTAAAAAATAAAATACAAATGTTTCTTCTTATTGGTCAAATAAGTATATTTCTTACGTGGCGCTCCGAATGCTCTCTAGAAATGCCTACTTTATTTATATATTTATTTCTTATCATAAATACTATCAAAATATATCTTATAATAGTAGGTATATAAATTGTATATCTAAATATGATTATTTTAAAAGATAATTTTTAGTTTTTTAAATAAATTAAATCCTAATAAATCAATATTCGTTGTTTTTACTTACGTGGCAAAATTCTTAAATCTCACTCGTCACTTTTGTTTAGGTGGCAAATGAATTTTTTAATTCCAAAATAAAATAGAAATCTAATTTTTAATTGGTCTCTAATTTTTAATTGGTCAAAAATATACCTTTGCTTATGTGGCACGCCGAATACTCTCCAAAAATGCCTAATTTATTTATATATATTAAATTATATTAGATTTAGGGATAGAATAGATTTTGCGATATGAGAAAGATTGTTTAATTAAAAATTAAGGGTTTAATATATATATATACGCACGGAGAAAGAGGGGAAATGAAAGTGGGCCATGAATTGCTCTGTCAATAATGAAAAAGAAAACCGGATGAACATAGCCCTGCCTCCTCTTGCTCCCCTCTCTCTCTCAGTTCTCCATTGAAGCGCACTCAACATCGCACTTCACGTTCTCCATCGAGACGCCTTCTAATACTTGTATTCCTCATTGAAGCAGCTTCTGAGGTAAGTTGTTTCTTTTAGTAATCGTCATGTCAATTTCACTATCTAGGGTTTATCTTTGATCTAATTTAATTTATTTGTCAGTGCAGTAAGTTTAGGGTTCGAAAATCTCAACTATTGGTTCTAAATACTTAGAATATGAAAGATCATAACCAGCGATTATGTTGCTAGAAAAGCAAATTATGAACTTAATTTGATAATTGAGTCACGTATCCCTAATATTATGTGATTTTTCGAGCTTTATTTGATAGTTGAATCAAATTTGATTGCTAATGTATTGCACAACCCTTTAATGTTAGGATTGAACTATGAAACTAGACCTCGTCTCCCTGCGGCTGCCCCTCCTGCCCTGGCTCAGGGACGGGCCTAATTACAATTTCATAGAAATTTTGTCGAGTAGCTATTTTAATTGATAGCCTTATTCTGGCTGTCTCTGCACCCTTCCTTTTTGAATGTTGTATTTCAATGAAATGAAAGTATGTTTGGGTTGCAATTCGAAGAATGCGAAAACCTCCCGCCTGAATAATTGGTCTACACCATTGCCGTACTTGTCAGTCTTTTCACTATAGTCGTAATTTAGAACCATCTACTGATCAAAGGCGTCCATAAGTTTTGTGCTTTGTCATCTGGCCACTTCTCTTCTATATTTATTTGACTATTGACTTCATAAGGTTTATCTTTTTGAAATTATAGAGTTTGATTTTTTAAAATGTGATGCAACATTCATACACAAATACACAAGTTCTGTTAACGTGTCTATTAATGGATAAAAGTATTGAAGCGATAGAAGTTCTTTACAAAAGGACCTTTTCTTTTGAGTGGGTTGGTTACGCAATGAGTAGCTCTTTCTAGTGTGTTTAAGCACGAGTAAAGGATACATAAGCATCCTTTAAAGCTGTCAAGTGCTTGACATCCAATACAATCGTATAGAGAGTGTCTTCGGATGTTCCTATCAAATGTTTTGAAGTTCATTTTGTAGGTCCTGTCTTACACACGTAATCTAGTAGCATGTACTTTTTCTTCTAAGTTCTAACTTATTGCGCATTTAGAAATGGTTAGCATTCTATCATGTTTAACCTTATCATTATTCTTATGCTTTTGATTGAGTTGCAACCTAAACAACCTTACTTAAACTATTTGTTAAGACTCTTAAGAGGATGATGTTATTGGATTAGGGTTTAAGGAAATCAATTAATTTGTGGCTTCCCTTAACACTAAAGTCTAAATAAACAACGTAACAACTGGAAACTAGGTTAGGGAGAATCATGCTTTTGTTCACTGTAATAATATGCTACTGTTGTTGTATAGGGACTATTTCAGTATTCAAATGGACATGTACAATGAACTCTTATCCTTGATTGGTTAGTGGGGTGTGTTTTTTTTTTTTTTTTTTTTTTTTTTTTTTTTTTTTTTTTTTTTTTTAATAAATATCGGTGGCCTTTGTTGGTGAAAAGAAGATGAAGTACATGCAGATGGAATGACATTGTTATAAATTTCGTTTTCCTTCTTAAGATTAATACTGAAAGGACCACAAAATTCAAAGAACTATCCCCATCTAGTAGGTTGTCACTTTTCTCTAATTTTTGTTAGCTGTAAGGCTGGTATTTAGTTATGCTTAGTTATGAGTACCATATAATTTTTTTTTTTTTTTATAGTTATTAAACTACTTATGACGATTAAATATTACTGTATTGCCAATCGTGTATTATATTATCATGTTAATTATTTAGGTAATTAAACTAATTATTTTAAGTAATTAAAACTACTTATTTGAAGATTAATACTTTGACTCTTCATTTCACTTCCAAGTACCCGTGTCGGATTGTCGACAGTCCGTCATGGGAATAGACATTTCGACTTTGATTTGGGCTCATGTTATGGAATTATTTTTACAAAATAAACAAGTTGGAGATGTACGTCTATCAGAAATTTCCAAGTTAGAGTAACATTGTTGTCTTGCATGCATCAAAATAGTGGGGAAAAAGAGGAAGGGGGGGGGGGTTGCCGTTAAATAAAGCTCTTTTTGATAGCTTAGCCCCTGCACCTCGTTTAAGGTTGAATCTTTGTAGAGGCATACTGATAATGTGGGGAGTTAGGAGTTCTAAACCAATTGTAGGTGTAACATGTTGGACTTTGGAAGGTTGAAGTAGCAAAAGCCCTTTGGTTCTTTGCGTAAGATGTTTTTTGTAATTTGTATACTTTCGCCTTTTCGGTGTCCAATGACTAGGAAAGAGAATTTGGGAAAGCAAAGTTAACCTTATTGTATATACTTTTTAGTTATTCATGTGGTTGTTTGGCTTTATAGCTGTTTGGCTCTCATGAGTGTTTTGGGCTATGTTTGGCGAAACTAAATGCCAATTTTACATGCATGTCTTTGCTATCAATTTATTACTCCTTCCTGCATTTAATCCTTAAAAAAGGCATTACCTTAAATTAAAGTACAAAGACCTAATTGACCTAGCTTGCTTCCAGTCTTTCCTGTATATATATATATAAAGCCCTGATCTTTTCCACTCTGATCCTTTTCTACGATTTGATAATTTCCCATTAAGTAATTAAATTTATTATAAATTGTAAACATTGCAGAGATTTTTGACAGTTAAATTGTTACTTGCTCAATATATGTTTTATACCCATACTTTGATTTGGAAACCTTAATTGGTATTATGAAGAATTATATAGAGTATCATTTTTGGCTGGGTGACTTTCAGATGGGGACTCTGACAAACCTTGTTGTCACTGTGGTGTGGTGCAAGGAGGGAGTGGGTGCTTATGAGGACAAAAGCTTGAAATTTCGGTCTCTAGGTTGCATTCCAAGAATGGATGTGCAACCTAATGTGCCTCTTGTACTTGTACCCATATATCATAATTACAGTTATCATGCTTATAATGCTAGCTATGAGTCATGTATCTTGTCTTTCCTTGTAATCACTTTGAAGTTTTTACTTGTGAAATTATAATTTGAAAATTTTACCATCATTATGGATCCTAGACCATCGTAGTCTCATTAGAAAAACTGTTACTTTAGAATATGAGGAATTATTTATGAGTTTCAAAATTTCAATTTAGACGTTGGAACAGGGGATTTTCCTCTATGCTTACGTTTGTGGTATGCTGATTTCTCATTTCTCATGTATTTTGTTGTTCTACTTAATGATAATAACTTATTTCTGCTGTTGATTATTATAACAAGCTGAGTGCATAAAAAACTCAACTTGCTGCAATGATAATATTTGATTGTTGGGACAATGGTTTAGGGAGTTCTGTTTATTTCACCAGGAAAGAGTTCCAGTTTGAACTACACTGGATTTATCTTCAGTGTTGTGTAATTAATTATTACTTCCTTCGTTTCATATTAGTTGACACATTTCATTTAGGCTAGTTAGCTAATGCATCCAAATAATGATATCTTCACTTATGTACAAGTACAACCAAAAATTATAAAAAGTTGATATTTGGAAAATGGACATTGAGACGAATCAAACAAGACCCACTCAGTTGTGTTTTTTTAAAAGGATAAATCACAAAATGAAGTCAAAGAAACTTTGGTAAATATTGGCGAAAGTTAAAATGTGTCTCGGAGGAACTATTTTATTATTTGTATTCTAAAAACTATGTTTATGATTGTAGGCTATTTGGCAAGATTTGGCTTTGTTGCAATGGGTTTTTCTTTTTTTTTTTTTTCTTACGAAGTGTTGAACTATTTTATTTTATATTATTATTTTTCTTAAAGCATTTTCTTTGACCTTTCTATATTGTATTTGTTATATTTACAAGAGGTCAAGGATATCATTACTCCTTTAGACCCTCAGAATTTCTATCTGCTCTACCATTCTTATATTTTTACTTACCCCATGAAGTTTTTAGTGTTATTAATGTGTCTGTTTCCAATATTGAGTATAAATGCCTTAGCTTGTCTCGTATTTTACTGAAAGCAGCACATCATATTAACCCTCTTTGTGTGGTATATATATATTTTGCCATCTTTTCTGTTTCTACTTATACTCTTCTCAGCCTTTCCTACCTCGGCGTTGTTATGCTTAAGGTAATTAGCTACTGAAAATTATGAAGATCACTTGTTTGCCTTGGCTCTGCTCCTTAATTGGGAAATAGATGTAGGCTTATTAAAACTGACTTCTATGTTCTTTTTATATGTCCAATTTTGTTCATTCATGTCCTAATGGACTTGATTAATTATGTTATCTGCAGAATGACAATCATCTTTCAGTTACCCCTTGAGCTCCTAGTGTGGGTTAATACATATTGATCTTATCTGATTTGTCATGGAGAAACCTGCACATTCAACTTTTGTAGTCTGCATATTCCATTGCTTGAATTTCTTTAACCTTCAATTTTGTTACTTGTGTAATGTTTTGCAAGCTCCCTTGTTGATGATTGTTTGCTGTATTGAAGCTTGTAAATAAACTTGTGCTGGCAATCTTTTTGACAAGACCTTGTTTTGTAGGATGGTCACTGTGCTCTTTTCAACCCTGCCAAAGACGATCCACCTTTTGTAGGTATAATTTGTCGTTGGACATCTGAAGAAGAAAATAATTTAACGCTTCGTGTGAACTGGCTTTATTGACCTGGTGAAGTTAAACTTAATAATTTAACGCTTCGTGTGAACTGGCTTTATCGACCTGGTGAAGTTAAACTTTTGAAAGGCGTTGCACTTGAAGCTTCGCCTAACGCAGTTTTCTACTAATTCCACAGTGATGAGATTCCTGCTGCATCATTACTTCACCTTTGTAAAGTTGCAATTTTGCCTAAAGGTGTCAAACTTCCACCTGGGGTTTCCTCATTTGTGTGTCGGCGTGTTTACGACATTACAAGCAAGTGTCTGTGGTGGCTGACGGATAAGGATTATATTGATGTGAGTTCTTTCATAGTTCTCTTTGACAGTTTTGTTTATGTTCTCTTAAATGTTTTCTGTTGTTGTGTTAGCTTCCCCTTGTTTCTGGCAATTAATTTTTCTTGGGATGATTTCTCCAGGAGCGGAAGGAAGAAGTGTATTAACTGTTCCATAAAACACGTATAGAAATGCATGCATCAGTAGAACCGCAGCAAGGTCCCCGTTCTCCAAGACCTGTGAATGGTTCAGCAGCAACATCTCCATTGAAACACAGTCCTGATTGTGTGCAGAATAGCAGCTCTAACCTCCCTTCTCATAGAAAGGGAAAAAAAAGGGAACGAGTTGATCAGTCTTTTGATGCCATTAAACGAGAACGCTCTTTAAAACCAGGTGATGGAGATTGTGGCCAAATAAGATCAGAAAGCGCTTTGAACTCAGAAATCGCTAAATTTGCTGAGAAAGGTGGACTTATGGATTCTGAAGCTGTAGTGAGGCTAGTAGGTCTCATGCAGCCTGATAAATCTGAGAAGAAGATAGATTTAACTGGTAGATCCATGCTTGCTAGTACTATAGCTGCTACAGATAAGCTCGATTGCCTTAATAAATTTGTTCAGCTTAGAGGCTTGTATGTGCTAAATGAATGGCTCCAAGAAGTTCACAAGGGTAAAATCGGTGATTCTGGAAATATAAAACACAATGATAAATTTGTGGATGACTTCCTCTTGGTTTTACTTCGTGCACTTGATAAGCTTCCTGTGAATCTTAACGCCTTACAGATGTGTAACATTGGCAAATCTGTTAATCATTTACGTTCTCATAAAAACTCTGAAATTCAGAAGAAAGCAAGGAGTTTGGTTGACACATGGAAGAAACGCGTTGAAGCTGAAATGAACGTCAGTGATGTGAAACCTGGCTCAAGTCAAGCTGTTCCATGGCCAGGCAGATCACAGCATGACAGTTCTCATGGTGGTAATAGGCACCCTAGTGGATATGATGCTGCCATCAGGAGTTCTGTTGCACATCACTCTTCGTTGAAATCTGCTTCAGTGAAACCTGTTCAAGGGGATTCTACCTCCAAATCTGCATCTGCACATCCGGGTGGTTTAATATCGACAGTGTCTCCTACATCAGCTACTGATAACTGTAAGGATGGGAAGTCCCAGATAATAAATGCCAGTGATGGAAGCTCTGAGCCTCAGTCAGTGGCAAGGGAGGAAAAAAGCAGCAGCTCTAGCCAATCTCAATCCCAATCCCTCACGAACAGTCAATGCTCAAGTGACCATGCTAAAAATTTTGTTCTGTGTGGAAAGGAAGACATGAAGAAGTCTACTGCTGGGTCTAGGAGTTTGAATAAACCTGTAGGCAGTAGTTCCAAGCACCGTGAACATGTTTGTGGTCCTTCCTCTAGTGCTCAAAAAGAAACTGCATCAAATAGAAGCTCATACGTGGGCAGAAACTCAGTTGTAGAAAAGGTATCACATAATGGAATTGATGCTTCTGTTCCAGAAAGCAACAATCATAAGCTTATTGTGAAGATATCTAACCGAGGCCGAGGTCCTGCTCAAAGCATTGCTGGTGGCTATTTGGAGGATTCTTCCTGCAGAAATAGTAGAGCTTCTTCTCCTGCTCTTCTAGAGAAGCACGATCTATCAGAGTTTGCTGCGAGGGATAATAAACACGATTCTCACCAACTTCATGAGGTTGATGAGTCATCAAGTTCTGTACACGAAAGAACCAATGAAATTAAGAAACTACCTAATGTTTCAAAGGTTGTTTGCACATCCTCCAGTATTGAACATATGTCTAGAAAAGTGCATGATTCTTCTTTCAGCTCCATGAATGCTTTGATTGAAAGCTGTGCTAAGTTATCAGAAGCTAATATGTCTATGTTGGCTGGGGATGATGTTGGAATGAATCTTCTTGCTAGTGTAGCTGCTGGGGAAATCCCGAAGACTGGTGCTGTTTCACCTGTCATCTCTCCTCACAGAAATATAGCTGAAAACTCCAGTAGCACTTGTATTGGAAATCAAAAACAGTTGCATGGGGATGATGCTGTTCAACAAGGTCAGTCAACTGATGATGATGGCAATGACAATCATATTAATGTCGCAGGTGTTTTTACAGCTGTTGAGGAAAGTAGCAAACTGGGTGGTGTTAAAAATGATAATTTACATCAGAGTATGAAAGTTTGCTTGAAAAACAATGTGACATTGGAGGAAATAGGTAATGCTTCTTCACCAGCATCTGTGGCTTGTACTACAGGTTTGAGTATGGATAATCTTGGTGCTGAAACGCCTGATAGTACAAACAGAAAAGTTGTAGCTGCCAAAGAAGAGAGTCAGAATGAGCTTCCTGTTGCAAGTCAGGGACTTAGTGTTTCCTTGGATGTTCAAGATAAAATTATGGTCGTCTCTTTGAATGACGAATTTGAGAAAAAAACTCACAGAGATATTGCATTATACTCTCCTAATGATGGTGATGAAAAAAATATCAAGCAAGAGCTTCAAAGCAATATGGAGCATAAATCACTTGCTGTAACATTGAAATTTGATTCTAAAACTAATGTGAAGCAAGATACAAGTCATCATTTGGCTGCAGAAGTCAAATCTGAAAGAACTGAAGGTGTTGCTGTCTGTGGCCTTGCCTGTCAGACAGGAAATAGGATATTAGACAAAGAGAGTGATACTTCTTTACCTGTGAAAGAAGGTGAACCTGTAGTGTGTGGTGCTGATGTAGATCAAGACAGAAGCTGCAAGGTTCAAAATGCCAAAAATAATGATGGCAGTTCAGTTAGACTAGCAAGCTGCACTACAGTCGCTTTATCGGAAGCAGAATTACATTCACATGCAGTAGGAACTAAATTAACTGCAGAAAAAGTTGCTCTGTCAACTTCTTCAGGAGGTCAAGATATGGATGCAAAGCTTGGATTTGATTTGAATGAAGGTTTTAATGTTGATGAGGGGAAGAATGGTGAGCCGGCTAACTTGGGTTCTGTTCGTTACTCAGATATTGTTTGTTCAATCAGCCCCTTGCAAATCCCTGTATCCCCTGGATCATGTGGTATTCCTGCATCAATTACTGTGGCTGCTGTTGCTAAGGGGCCTTTTGTTCCTTCTGATGACTTGCTGTGGAATAAAGGGGAACTTGGATGGAAAGGTTCTGCGACCACAAGTGCATTTCGTCCCGCTGAGCCTAGAAAATCCCTTCGTCCTGATTCCCCTGTTTGCAGACCAACTCGGTGTCCTTTGGATATTGACCTTAATGTGGCAGATGAAAGTTCTTGCCAGGAGTTCAATGTTAGAAATAATCCTATACTTGAGCCGATGACTACGGCATCTCTGCGTAGTTCTGGAGGACTGGACCTTGATCTGAATAAAGTTGATGAAGCTTCAGATATGACCCACCTGGGACGGCACATGGCTAGCAATATTCAGAGATTTGAGGCCTTTACTCAGCATGTAAAACCATCAACAGTCAATGTTTATTCTAATGGTGGAGGAAGTGGGAAGAGGGATTTTGATTTAAATGATGGGCCTGAGACCGAGGAATTACCTGCAGAACAAGTTCCATCTCGTCAGCTTAACATTGGGAACGTTCCACTCCAACCACCCTTTGGGCCTAGAATTAATAGCTCTGACACAGGGAACTGCTATTCTTGGTATCCTCCAGGAACTAGCTACTCAGTAAGTATGACACCATCAGTTTATCCTGAAAGAGAGGCCTTTTCAATGGTTGGGATGGGTGGTGGTCCTCAGCGTGTTGTGGGTGGTCCAACTGCAGCTCTATCATTTAATCCCGATGTTTACAGTGGATCAGTATTGTCATCTTCTCCTGCTTTGCCTTTCCATCCTGCTGCTTTTCAATATCCAGTCTTGCCATTTGCTAATAATTTCCCTCTTCCTACATCTTCCTTGGCTAGTAGGTCATCTGGATACATGGACCCAACTGCTACTGGTCGGATGTCTGCTATCCCTTCTCAGTTGGTTGGAAATGCTGCAGCAGTTTCCTTTCAGTATCCTCATGCATATGTTGTTTCTCGCTCCATTCCTGACACTGGAAATAACAGTGTGATTGGAAGCAATCATAAATGGGGAAAACAAGGTCTAGATCTCAATTGTGGTCCAGGTGTTATGGACGTGGAAGGTAGAGATGAGTCATTGCCAATTGTATCCAGGCAGGTCTCCAACATCAGCTCACAGACCCTTGCAGATGAGCAAGCAAGGATGTATAGCATGGGAGGCGGCCATATGAAAAGAAAGGAACCTGAAGGAGGATGGAATGTAGATAAGCTAAACTTCAAGCAATCATCATGGCGATAGAAGAACATTGTGACCATATAGTGACCCTTCAAAAATTGGAAGTTGGAAGTTGGTTTAGCTATGTAAGTCTATCTTCTGACATTATATTATTCACTATTTGTGCTTGATCAGTGTATAAAATTAGTTTTCTGTCCAACTTTATTTTGGTTTTTTTTTTTAAAATTTATTTTTTACAACTCATTTATACATTTCTGTTTCGTTGTGAAATTGTGATGTTTGCGTAATGGCCATTATACAATTTTAGTTTCCTGTTGTGTTTTTGTAGATGGACTGCTTGTATGCGGATAAGTGCTATCTATCTGATGCTGGGATTCCATGAGCATATATGTTTTTTACTTGTACAAGTCCTTTGTTTTTTGCTGGAACCTGCATCATCTAACTTTTTTTTTTGTTTAATAAAAATTGTGTTCCAGTTTGTAGAAGATGGACCAAGGCTAGCTATCAAGAAATCATCATCTAACTCTCAGTCATAAAAAGGATGGGTGGTAAGTGAGTAAACTGATGTGTTCACAAGTCTCCGACCCCCATCTCCTGCTGTATCAATCCTGTTTACTATAAAAAGAAAAAAATTGTTGGGAGTTCTGTTTTCATGCTGTGAATCTATCCTCAGGTGGCTATTGGTCAGTTTTCCTTCTGTAGATAAATTGTTGAGAAAAATGCCTGTTATCCAAAGCCTCAATAGCTTTGATACCATTCATTTCCTTTTCAACCTCCCAGCAATGGATGTTGAATTTGTTTACTGCTCATAGCAGAAGTATCTGTATGCGCATTTTTCTTAATTTATCCATTCTTTTTCTGGTATATCTCATTTTAACTACGTATACTTTGTCTTTCTGTTACCAAAATAGCTCCCATCTTACTTTGATACTAACAGGTGATCTGAAATTTTTTGTACTGTCCTAAGCATTTCCTCCAATCCATGTCATCTGAAATTCAAATGAGTTGTCACTATGGTGAGTATTTATTTTGGTCGATACAGCATTTGCTTTCTCTTACTGGTTTTGTAATTGTGCCGTGTATGCCCGGAGCATTAATTGTGTTTTGCTCTCCATATTTTCAAGCTCAAGTGTATCTCTTTTTCAGATCTGCCCACTAACAACCATATACAATGCATTTTATATAATATTTTAAATGATTATGCGAGCGCTTCCTTCCCTGAGCATGGGATGGAGGTGCAGCCGTGCAGAGTTGATGGTGACACCTATGCAGGCAAAGGGCTTGGTCTTTATTTAGTTTAATTTGGCATCTGCCGTTAAATTACATGCCGATTACCCAACTGAAGTATTTTGTATGAGAGCTCATGCTTATTTGTGTGCTTGTTTGAGAGATTGTACTGCTGAAGTAGCAGCCATAAGTTTTTGCTTGTCCTGATTGAGCGGTCACTGATGCAAAATGTTTCAGTGGTTAAATTGCTCTCTAGCCTGCAGAAAATGGGCATTTAGGTCTTTGGATTTCTTATTTTCTGCTTAAGGTTATAAATTATCGTTCTCTAAATTTGTTCTGAAATTTGGGTAAAGAATTAAAGATCATGTATCAAACTGCGCCATTGGTCCATTGCCAATTGTGATAGTTGAACAGCTAGAGTGGGTGTATTTTGATAGTAATATCAAGCTGCCTACAGACCAGCCAGGTTATTTAGTAGATGACAATTAATCAAGGTAGGAAGCAACAATATCAATCAGGGGAAATAAAATAATAATCTCATTTTGGCATCTGGAGACTTGTTTTTGAATTGAAACTGATGCGTTTCTTGATTCGTTTGGTCTTAGGTTTAAACAAGCTTCACTCGTTTGTTTTCGCCTAAGGGTTCTAAATCTGATTTCAAGGCTTCACTCACCTTAATCTCGTGATTTAGGGGTTTTTTTTGAGGATAGTTTGAATTAGCTTCACTCACTAATTAATCTAACCTCTCTTAAATCAGGTTTCACTCGCCTAATCTAAGGGTTTTTATGTTTAACTTCACTCGTCAAACACAAAGAAAACTTGGAAAGAAACGTTCCAAATTAACAAGCAATAAAGCTTTAATCAACAAAACAAAACTTTTATAATTCGAAGTTTACAACCTTTATTTATAGACTCAAAACTAATCCTAAACCTAATCAAATTAGAAGACTAATCCTTATTGAATTAGAATCCCATTTGACCTAGAAAACCTAAGAAAACCTAAACTTGATCCCCAAGTTCCTAATTCGGATATGACTAAACTAACTAAGTTTAATTCAACTTAGATTAGGTTATTCAATCCTCCTAAAACTCCTAGACACGCCTAAAAACCAAACTCAAGTCCTAATCCACTTAGGAACTTACTTTGCTAAAAACAAGTCCTAATTCAAATAGGAACTCTCTTTTGCTAAAGACAAGTCCTAATTCAAATAGGAACTCACTAGACCAAAACAATTCCTAATCAAAATAGAAATCTTAACGCTTAAAACAAGAAAAATCCTTTCAAGTGAAAGGTAAAAACTTGTAAGCCAAAATCTAATCTAAGAAACATTAAAGAAATGGACCAAGAAAGGAAACCTTGAATGCTCCCGCATCAGAAACAAAATAAGTTTTGTTTTAAATCCATGATAGTCGATATAATGGATTGTCGTGAAATTATTTCGTTGGTGAAAAATTATGTGAGATCGTAAAAGTTATCAAAATTTTGAATATAATTAGATGAATCAAAAGGAAAACATCCTCACGGCTACAAAGGATCGTTAGGTTGTCTTCTTAATTAGGCTGTATTTTCCAGCAATATAAACGGGAGATATTTTATAGTGTAAGATCTACTCAACGATCGTAGTTTTTATGAAGGATATTATTATTAAACCTGTAAAGATTTATCCTTAAATTAAACTTCCAATATGTAATGAATATAACATATTACGTAGTATAATTTATCTGAGGTTAAAAGTCACCCTGCAATTTATGATGTAGTATAAAATTATTGTACATTGGTGTAAACAAAAGTGTTTTATTATAAAAAAAACCTTTCGAATTTCATATAAGTTTTTTAAATGGTTCATCTTACGGGCTAAACTAGTATAAGGAATCAAGCAAAAAATAAGAATGATAAAATAAAGAACATTTCTAAATGGAAAGTTTGGAGATAAAAAAGATTGTGTTGAAATATATTCTTCCCAACTAGCATATGTAATGTCCAACATCAATAAATATATACTAAAAGACACATCATTAATGAAACGTGTTGTTTCGCGGTTTTTTGGAATCCCTTGGGATACAAGTCCTGAATATGTCTAGACGGCCGCAAACACCTGCAAAACAACGAATATTCCGGTTGACGGAATATTTGCCTTCTACGGTCAAGTTAGTAACCGGAAAACAAAGATATTTAGAGAGAAGGTAAAGAGAAGTTAGAGCACTTTGTATGCCTCTTTTATGATATGTCTCAATCCACCCCTCCCATCATTAATGATTGGGGTATTTATAGGGGAAGGAATGTGTGCATTCTAGGGTTGGTGCTGCAAAAAAAGAGTGCATTGATTGGCGGCGCAATCAGGTAAGGACACGTGTCCTTTGGAGGCGTTGTTTTGGCGCTTCTCTCGGGAATTGGGCCTCATGATGTAATTGAGGTCTTTTCCTATTCAGGTGCTCTCATGTTTGCCACATGTCATCTTCCTATTGGGACACGTGTCGCCTTCTCATTAGGCCATGTGTCACCATAGGATTGGACCACGTGGCGGGGGTATTTTTACCCTAAACATTTGCCCCTTAGAGGGGTGACTCGAACCACTTGGCTGCCTCCTCAGAAGTTTCGTTCATACACCAATGTTCGATTGCTCGAATGCTTTTGACTATAACCTAGAAGGGGCGGACTTTAACGTCCATCTGAAATTAGGAGGCGCTCTTTTGGGCCAGTCGCCTTTGGCTGTTCGTGTTGGGTTTTGCGGTATCCGACATCGCGCGGAAACAAAACACACAAAAGGATTTCATGCATAATAATTACAACTAAACAAAATAACATACAATTATTGAAAGCATAAACACATAAAGGGAAGAGAGAGAAAGTAAGGATAAGACTTGCTCACCCTTGACGTGTGCTTCTCACGAACCCCGAGCACGAACACGAAAAACCTCTAGACCCGCAAGTGCAAGCCCTCCTCCGTCTCACACCCTCGCGCCCGAACGGGTCCCTTCCTCGTAGCTTAGACGAGGCTAGACCAAAATAAACTAGAGTATTACGAACTTAAAGGCTTTCTCACTTTTGGGAGATACCTTATTGAGTTCAACTCAAGTGAATAATCTCATTACCCAAGGTGGGTATTTATAGGGAAATGCTTCCAAAAACTTCAATCAACTTTCCATGTGGGAGAGTTGTTGAAATGAGAAAATGAGTAATTAATTTAATTCCAAATTAAATTAATTTCACAAATCAATTAGCAAACAACAAGTGACAAGAGGAGAGGGAGGGTAGGTGAGGACCACAAGAGGAGGACCACACCTCCCTTGCTCCCTAAGGCAAACCCTCCCACCAACCAGCTCCAATGAACACACGCCAGTTGGCGGGCTGCCTTGGCCACCAAGGTTGCCTTGCTGGCGCCTGGTGCCTTGGCTGGGCATGCCAGCCGGCCTATGTAGCAGTAGGGCTGCATAAGCAAGCCTCGCATCAATGCGGGCTGCTTGTGTGCTTTCGCTGCTATCCCGCGCAAGGCCCAGCGACCCTTGCTGGCTGTTGGCCTTGCTTGCGGGGTTAGCTTGCACTTGCTGGCCGATGCTAGCCCTGCTTGCATGCCAGCATGCAAGCTTGCGACAAGGCTAGGCATCCCAGCAGCGCATGATGCTAGCTGGTGTTTTGCGTGCGAGCGGCTGGGCGCACCAGCCTGCATGCATGCTCGCATATGCTTGCTGGGCTTGCGGCTGGTGGCCTTGGCTAGCCTACCCTCGCATGGCTAGGATAATGTGAGGCTACGGCTTAGCGTTGACTCGTTGTTTGACTAATTTCTTGTCTCGTCGATTGCATGCTTAGTCGTTTTAATTAGTGTGCGGGTCTTGGGTGGGTTTCCCTTCCGCGTAGAGTCGGACTCTACGAAACCCAACAGCGGTATCAGAGCCGTGCTCACTTTAATTATTGTGACTAATAATTAATTAAGGTGATTTAAAATGGATTTAAATTTCTGGTTGTGTTTTCTAATTGGATTAGAAGCTCGTTTTAATTAATTTTAATCTCGTATTTTTTAAATTTTGGTTGACGAACCCAGATTTCGACTCAAAAATAGTGATTTTTGGGTGGAATCGATGTTCTAAATCGTTTCTGACCCTTTCAAATTTGTCCAGAAGCCAAAATCCACCAGAAATGTGTTTTTCGAGGGGTTTTTTGTTTTTGACGAAATTTTTTAAATCTTTTAACCTTGATTAATTATTGCATGATGAAGGTAAATTAAATGTATGGTTGCATCCCTAATCTACTGCAATTATAAACCTCATTAAGCATGTTTATGAAGTCATAATTGGTGCTTAATTTGGTATGTTCACTTTTCACATAAACTTGTATTGTTCACATTATTGCAAATAAATTGCTTTGAGTGTGAATGTTTATGGTGAACTTGCAATTTTGAAGCCCTAAAATTTCAAAGATTCAATCTTTAATTGTTTATTTGGTTGGAACTTTGATTCTAAATTCCATGTTGAACTAATTTTTGGATTTAATCATTTTTTTGTTGATTAAAGTCCTTAAAGTTCAAAACTTGTGATTGAATTTTGATTAATCTTCATATTGGAAGATGTAAATTTTTCAATTTTACACAAGTTATTGTTGGGAAATTTTTCATTGGATGAAAGGGTTTATTTTTCCAACTCC